ATTAGTTATATAGATGATGCTAATTATAGAACTACTTAATGTATTAAACACAGTAGATCTACAAAGAAAATCATATTATTTTATATGTCGTAGGAGTTTAACATATTCAGAGATATGCCTCAGACCTTATTTTTAGTAGATTCAATTTATATCTTTATATTAATCATCAAACTTATAAAGACAATCTATATATATATAATCATTAAATTGAAATAAATATTTGTGATTTTATAGCTCAAAATGTCAAGGTAAAAATCTATCATTTATAACGATTGAAAAGGGCATGTAAAAGATAGATAGTTAATTAAATAAAAATAAAGGCGATTGCAAATATATAACGATTTTCGCGTAATTTTTATATTAACCAATCAAATAGGAGATAGGATAAGGGTGTCGAATCTTTAAGTATAGCGGTTCAGTTCCATTTCCAATTTTTAATTTTAAACGGTTCAAATCCATTTCGGCTATTTTTGAATGTAAGGAATTAACTTTAAATAAATTGTATTTTGTTATTTTGGTGTAAGGATACAATTTATGATAATTGATTGATTATCTCATAAATGTACTTTCGATGAATATATAAACATATTATTGTAAAGGTTAAAGCATCTTCTGATATTTTCTCATTTTTATTTTATATTAATAAACACCACATTGAATAAATTTATATCGGTTCCTTCGGTTTTATAAGTGTTTACGATTTTTTCAAATATACAGTAAAAATATGATTTGTTGATTTCCATAATGTGAAAAAACATTCTTATATAGTTTAATAATTTTCCATAATTATTGTAAAAACTTGTTGAGATTTTTTTAAAAACCTTTAAAAACTTGAAAAAAAATGTTGAGAAAAAAAAATTAATATTTTTAAAAACTTTTGGTAATTTAACTTAAATTAAAACTTTTGCGACAATTTTAATTTTCAACTTCTAATAATTTTTCATAAGTTATAATTTTTTTCCGATTAAACACTTATATTTCTATTTTTTTTAAATGTCAAATTTTACTATCGCTAGTATTTTGAATCTATCAGTTTCAGGTTTGTTAATATAGTATTAAATATCATATTTTTACCACCCTATTCGCCAAAATTAAATTCGATCGAAAAAATTTTCGGAATTATTAAAAATTAATATAGATCTAATTCTCCTAAACCCATTAACCGAATAGAAGTTATTGCAATTGTTAAGAGTATTTTGAGCAGTTATTTTACATACAATTTTTCGAATTTTTATTCTCACACCACAAAGTTCAATGAAGATGGAATTCGATGCATTAAATGATTGAATTTATAATTGATTTATTGTGTAATATTTTATAATGGTTTTTTTTATTTTCGTATCCTCGAATTGATCATAAAAAAATCTAAACAAATAAAAATTTATGAAAACCCTAAATTACAATTTTCACTCATGTTTATTAAGAAATTATTATCCTGATTTTCATTCTTTATATAACTAAAAGTAAAATTAATATATTGTAATAATATTTTAAATTTTAAAAAATTTATGTATTTTTAAAAATAAGTTATAGTAAAAATCTTAAAAAATTTAGTATGAAAATGTATTTATATATATATATAATTTCTTACCTATGTTCATCTTTTGGAAAATCTTCCTGGTTTAGCGTATTTTGCCAAAAAATTATAAAAATCATCCTCCAGTATAATATTTATTTAGGAAAATGTATTTATACTCATTATTTGTATACGTGTTAGATGAAGTCTTAGCTATAAAATAAAATTTATCTGAAGTTTATAGCTTAACTAGAAGTCACGCAATAATAATTTTTATAATATAAAGGGTAAAAAGGTTATTATGTTCCGTCTGATTAAAGCTGCAAAAAGAGAATTTTGAAATACTAACGTTTAAAACATATAAAAAAATGTTTTTGAGAAAAAAGGAACATTAATCAATAAACAAGCAATTCTCAATTCCAAACACGTCGAATTGAGCCTCGATTTCCTCCAGAAACTTACGTGAATCAGAGCACTCTATCCGACGAAGAACGCAAATCTGGTTGGGAATACACACCCATCAATCTAGGTATTGATTAAAAAAATGAAATGCGAGGTGGCTACCAATGAAACCATACTTGAAAGATGGCGTGTAGATAGTTGGCCATCGAAAACAAAATAGGAGAATTATAATACCCAGACTCGGTGAAAGAAACTATGCGAGGAATACCATGATGGGGTGTGAAGCCTTCCAGATTTTTTAATAGCAATTTCCTTCAATATTCGATGTCAATCAATATAATTATGATTCTAAATTAAATTTGTATATACATAATCATGATTTACCAATATAATAAATATATTTTATTGCAAAATTTTGTCAAATTTAGTCTAGATAATGATATTTAAGGATGGATATTGTATTTATTACTATAGCAAATAATTTTTACGAAAGCAAGAAATACATAGGTTATTTTACTGGGGTATTTTTTTCCAAGTACCAATTTGAACTTCAACATTTTATCTTGTTTAAGCAATGAGTAATCTTTAAATAATAAATTAGGACCAAAAATAAGTTTAGCTTATTAATATATTATATTTTTTTCTGAAATACTAATTTGTCTATTAAATATGAGTATATTCATTATAATACATATAAAAATTTACCTATATTATTAGTTCTTGAGTAAATTCTATAAATATGAAAAAAAAATTCCGGGGTTTTTTTTCCAGGATTCAATAAAATTTCAAAAAATCGTAGCAAAGGTTAGGAATAATTGAAATGTACGATGTGCCTAAGATGGGGACACTCAAAATGTGCTATTTTTGATAATTTATTTACATTCCCTTATTGTATTCATTGGTTTATACTTACATCAAAATTGCTAATATTTTGTTCAATAAAACAATAAAGTTGAGTCCGAGTTTATTTTAACCACTTTGCCCTGGTGCATAGCCATTTTACTCTGGGTATGGGGTAAAATAACGAAAATGGCATACTTCACAAATTAATCAGAGCTTTAAAATATTGTAAGTAGAGAGCTAAACTTATTTATATTTTGTATATGAGGAATTGGGCTAAATAAAATTTTATAAGTTGTTCTTTCTTTCTGTTTTGCATTATATATTATATATATATAAATAATGTCTACCAATCGTTTACCCCTGCCTTCTCTATTTTTATTTTATTATTATAATATATTAATAAGAAATAACAAATTTGCACCACGATTTATTTTTAAGTTAATTAGAAAAAATTAATGAAATATATTCTATTAAAATAAATAATATTTCAAATTATACTACTTAAAATAAATAAAATATTTTAAAAACCCGTAACAGGTTCAATTTTTAAAACGTTTAGGTTCTTCCCTTTTTTCTTATAACGGTTCAGTTAGTTACCAGAAAATTATAACAGCTGATTTAAGTTCGGTAATTTGGTTCGACCCTGTGAGAGATAATTAGCTTGTAAAAAGGAGATAGACTATACATAAAAATCAACCTTGATTTAAAAATAAAACCAACAATATCAACTTGATATGGCTATTAAATATTTTTTTTACATTTAATGATTTTTTAAATAATAATCTTTTGAATGATTTTCAATGGCCTTAAAGTGTCTTAAAAATACATCCTTTACATTATATCCTTAAAATATTATGTTATTCGGCGTTGTATATGTTATTTACAGTGAAACCTTTTGTAAGATGACAACTCAAGGCTGGTATTTTTAATCAACATAGAGAGCATATTAAATATATAAAAAATTTTGGAAAAGAGAAATGAATCGATGTAAAGGTATCAAAATAAGGATGTGGTCACTTTTAAGGGGTTACATAAAAGTGCACACCACTGAGCAACTATTGGACAGTAAACTTTAATGCCCAAGTGATTTTAAATTAAATGATGCTATAAGAATATTTGTTGGAAGCGCTCAATTTAGACAAGCCATAGTTCTACTTTATATTATTTACACGATATTTTATTTAAAATAAAAGGTTGATAAACTATTCCACATACTTAAGGCGAAAATATGTTTAAGCAGAAGCAAAATAATATATGATTGAAGTTCACAATTCCTCGTGTAACCTAATATTAATATTATATTTTGTTATTAAAAAATTAAATATTATACTATTTGTTTTAAAAATTTAATAAATCTACAAAAAAATGAACAGATGGATAGACAATGTACATCTACATAAAAAAATATATGTAAAATCAACTAAAATTAGGAAAAATGTGTGTCCAATTATATAAGCACGCCTAGAACGTAAAATAGTATGATTTTAAGTGGGCTGTAGTGTTGGGTTGAATTTTAAAACGGCCCGATTAAGATTTTCGCCAAAATATTAGTAAGCCCGGAAATTTTGCTCAGAGGTGAGAGAAAGTTTTGAATCTTTATTTGCCAAATCTCAAGGCTACATAATATTATCTTGGTTAAAATCTTAATCGGGCCGTTTAACAGCATTAGGGCTTGTTTATTAATTTAAAAAATACAAACTTAAATAGGATTAAATGGAAAAAAATCAAGGCCTGGCTGGAAAATTTGAATCCGCTAGGCTTAAAAATTAAACTTCTGCAGATTTCTTGTATACTAAAAATTTTAAATAAAATAAATCCTTTAATTATCTGTTCGTTCCATTATTTACTCCCAAAATTCATTAATTGATTGTTGAGTTCTAATTCCAAATCTTTGTTGAAATTAAGTTAGGCCTAAATTTTTATTTAAGCTCCCTTTTTTACATTAAAAAAACCTCATATTATGATCTCATCAACTTTTATATTTTTGAGTCTCTTGTTCTTTCTTAATTTTGTTCAATATATTTTCTTGTATATATTAAACAAATATTATATTGATTTGTCTAGTGACAAACTGGGGGCTTGGGCCACAAATTCAGCATGCCTAAAGATAATTGGCAATGCAATTATTTTGCATTAGATGGAAATATAATTAACTTTTTAGTCCTTAGCATAAATGATAAGAGTTGGATTAGAAAGAATAGTTTGGTCTATATAAATATATTTAAATTTTATTAAGAACCGTGTACAAATGTTTGGCTTGATTTCCACGATTCTCTAATTTGTCATCACTGGCATAAAAGGTCAGAGCTTGCATTACATCGGCACCCGATCTCAGAAATTCTCTGTGAAGTTCTCTAACTGAATTTTAACGAAAATGAAATAAAAATTCGTTATTTTTCCTTTATTGATTTAAAAAATATTATCCTTTTCAGTCATTTTTGTATAAAAAAATTCTTTGCAACAAATTTATTTTGAATAGAGACCAGAGTTGTTAAAGTATCGCTTTTTTAAAAATTATTAGAGAGTAGATAACGTAGCGCGTTACTTCACTACTTTAAAATTTTATATAATTAAATATATAATAAAATATTTAAATTTTGTTTATAATTCCGTAATTATATTATATTACATCTAATTTATCAAGTAATTTAAATGCCACCAATAGAAATAGAGATGAAAGAGAAGTTTGAGACAGATGATAACCATAAAATTTCATTAGAAAATGGAATTCTGGAAATACCTTTTTTTGCAAAATATTTCGAACTTAATAAAAAAAAATTAATACAGGATTTATATTTAGAAGAATAAAATATTGAAGGATAATATCGTTGGATAAATCAAGCAACTTCAACCTTAAAAAACATCTAAAGATATTCATCATAAATTTTATTACAATTATTATATACTGTTTTAATTTTAAAATGTTCACATCTAAAATTTCAGAGATTGAAAAATATCTCGATAATTTTGGTGTACTTGAAGAGGCTGCATCCAACATCAGAATCAGGTGTTTCTCAAAAATTAGCTGATAAAGTCATAATTATTTTTATAATTGATACAGTTTGGCCAATTTCTTTGGGCGATAATCCTCTCATTTATCAAATTGGTTATATTATCTCTTGGTACCAAGATATCTTGCCCTCAAAAGATTTTAGGAAATTTTCAAGAAATGAGTTTTTTAACATTAGATCTATCAGAAGTCTCTTTCATCTGCACAGTTGATTGTAGGGACTCATAATATAAGGTTAAATAAAGTATTTATGTTCTGATCTTATATCAACTTAATTGGATATAAATAGCAGATAAATAGGTTATTGGAAATGTTGTCTAATCTAATACTCAAAGGAGAAACATATTAAAATAAATCCTCTTGTCACATTTTTTTAAATTTAAAAATACTCAAATCAACATTTATGATAATTTTTCTTAGAAGTTTAGAAATTAAATTTAGCATTCCCTTCAAGTGCTACTTGTTGAGTTTTGACCGACGGGTCCCACCGTCTGAGTGGGGAAAAGACAGTCCGTGATTGGGAGTCCGGGATGGTCGATGATGGGATCCTGGGGACCGTGTTAGGGTAAAGTTTTAGTCAAGGTATCACGCGGACAACGTAGTGTAAATATTATTTTTAAGTAATCCCAAAGCCAATACAACCGAATTGAGGTAAAACAAATTTATTTTAAGAGTTACAAAAAAAGAAATTAATAAAATCATTCATAAAAAAAATCACTAATCAAAATTTCATTTTTCGTGGTCTTTATATAGATAAATTAAATAATAAAAAAAAAGAATGTTAATAAATCCAGGCCCATCTCGAAAACTGGCTAGAACCAGTTTTGAGGATAAAATCAAAACAAGCTTGGTATAGTGAACAAAGAAAAAAAAAAGATATACAATAATGAGAAAAACTCATCACTTCTAATTGAACAAAGAAAACAAAAATATAAATGGTAATATAAAAATATATCACTAGAACAAAGACATAATAACTATTATAAACTAGTTAAAACACAACACTACTGTTGCGTAATTATTTGATAAGGCAAAATTTATCCTTTCCAACTGTTGCTCTGACTTGGGGATGATAATATAGAGACGATTTAATTATTAAAAAATAAATAATGCATTTACTTTACTTTTTTTGTCAAATTTTTGCATTTTTAAATTTGAAATGTTTATTTATGGACATAGATTAGATATAAAAAAATATGAAAATATCTTTTTTTTTAAATAAGCTTTTTAAAAGGTAGCTGAAGCAATAGCATGCTAATTTTTTTGCCAAGTAGCATTTGCTGTAGTGTGCTATTTTCAAAAGCCATATTAAACAACAGTGATAAAACTGATATAGGCCAGGTGCATAGCCAGTGAGAAAGGGGGGGGGGGGGGAGGGGGGGGGGAGAAATAAAATTTTAAGAAAAAATATAAAAAGTTTTGTGAATTATGAATTGCAAAGTATTATATTTCAAATAGGTTATACTCTATATTAAATTTTAGAAAAAAGTTATATTTAATTTAAATATCCCACAAAAATTTAAAGTATATTTTCTTACATTTTTAAACCTTAAACACTGATGAATATAGAATATAATCAAATTGCACAAAAGAATTCTATTTAATTTTTATCTACTAATTACTATTATTAGGTAACATTTCTAAAATGCATGAAATATCCAGATATCCAGGGAGATGAAATTTATCAAATAGAATTATTTCTAAAACTTCTTGTGCTACAAGAAGAAAGAAACTGCAACAACATTTCCGACAAATTAGAGCCTTCAACATCAAGTATATTCTAGGATGAAAAGTCTATCTTGGATACTATTGGAGATAAGAATGGCTTGAACCAGATATTTCATCTAAGGCAGATAGATATATTATTACATTCAATATGACAATTTCTTTTTGCATTGAAATATATTAATAAATTATTTAATTACAACACAATTTTATTTAATATTTTTCAAAAAATGATATGAATTTATATTCTATGAGGATCTCAAATATTATTACAATACAACTTAATAAATTATGAGATAATATGAACCATTTCACAAGATTTATAAGATAGTTGAGGCAAAAGCAAAATTATATAATTTTGAGATTAGTAAGCCTTGACTTGCTAGAAAAACAAATGGTTCCATATTAACATTAATTTAATGTATTATTATAAAAAATATCGTTGTTATTCCACTTTTAGATATATTTTTACTCAAATCAATGAACGATTTGTGATTCATCAAATGGCTCTATATAATTTACAAATACTATTATCTCTAAATCTTTAGGATATATTAATCTTGATATTGAAAAAATTAAATATTTAGCTAAATTTTATTCAAAGAATATAAATATATCGAAAGACCAATTAATTTCAGAGTTTAAATCCTGGCATGAAAGTTAAATTTTAGTAGATAATCCTCCAAAGAAATGCAATAGAAGCATTGTATATTTAAATAATATTTTGGTGTTTTTTCCAAATATATTAAAAATGCTGCATAATTTGGCATCAATACCAATTAGTACAATTACAAATGAGAGGATCTATGCAGAGTATAAAAACCTATCTCAAAAGTATGATATCGTAAAATAGATTAAATGGACCAGATTTACTTAATACATCAAAATCCCCAATTAAGAACAAATTATTGAAAAATTGGTATAATTGCAAAGATTAAATCTAAATTTATTAACAATATTTTGATTAACCATTTGTTTAATTCTATATTTTATGGTGATTTACATACCAGTTATAGCTAGTGTTTAAAATTGCCATTCACCCCCCCCCATCCTGAAGAAAATTCCTGGCTACATATTTGATAGTCTAGATACAATAGATTTAGTAATTTTTATAGCATCAATGAATCTTGAGAAACTAATAAAATAAACTTCTATTTTGAACATAATTAGAATTAAGAGTTAAGCTCATTACTTTATCTTGTTATCCCCTATAATTTTATTTCAGCAAAAAACATTCAGTTTTTATAATGTGATCAGGCATATCCAGGATTTTGCCAAGGGGTAGGAAAAGTCTTATAATATGAATTTTTTCCCCATGGGAATTTATTTCCATTTATTGCCTTTGACTATATACGATTTTTATAAAAATAATTCTGGGTTTTTACTGTTTAAATTAAAATCCTTTTTGTTATTTTAAAAAGTTATTAACTTTTACTAATCTTTCTTTCAAATTCTTCCTTTATTTTAGGGGAAGAGGAAGGGGGGGGGGGGATTTTTATTAACTTAAAACAATATATACAAGAACAGGCAAATTAGCAATGAAAAGGAGAATTTCCCAGTTTAAATGACTGTTTGTTATGATAGATGCAAAAAATGATTTATGTTTGTATACAAAAATGGTACAAATTTTAAAAAAGAAATTTTTATAATACCTGCTTCAGGATGTTCAATATTGACTTCAGGAGTCCAAGGTCCTGCCTTAACATAGCCTCTTTTTTCTAATGCAAAAACAAACCCCCCATCTCCAATTATAATTTCACCTGAATTAAGTCTCTCCAGAAATCCAATTTTCTATAAGTTAAATATTTAAAATTATATAATAAGTTATAGCTACATTTAATGATATTAATTTGGTTATATCTTCAATTTTACTTTTTGCTGCATGATGAAATAAATAATAACTAGTTTGAACTGATTTTATCTTTCTTTCTTATTAAATTTAAATTTAAGAATGTATGTGCATATATAAATGACAAAAAGATGATGCTATTTAACGTCTGAGAAGATGGGTAAACATTTTTAGAGTATTTGCTGTTACGTAATAAACATTTGGAAATGAAATGTAGGTCAATTCATTTTCTCGCTGGAATACATTCGATATGGCGGCCCTCCTCCTTCTGGTGATTAGTTTGGTTTTAGTATAAGAGAAGGATTCCATATCTATTGTTGTTAAACGGCTCGTTTAGAGCTGATTTTTAAATACGGCGAACTCAATAATTTAGTAAGAAAAATATTGTCTAATAGTATTGTTAAAACGCCCAATTTGGGTAAATTTTAAAAACGGGCCGCTTAAGATTTTAGCTAAAATAATATTATGCAAACCTCAGGATTTAGCCAATAGATGTCCAAACTTTTCTGCCAGCCATGAGCAAAATTTCCAGGCTTACATGATAAAATCGACTCAAATTAAGCAGCCTTTTGACAATACTATTGCCTAAACCTAGTGATTTTGCTAATAGATGTCCAAGCCTTTGTTCCTTCTACAAACAAACTCTTCAGGCTTGCGTAATACTATTCTGGATGAAATATTGAGTTAGCTGTTTTTGAACAACACTATCCATATCCAATACAAAATTTGATTCTGAATAAATAAATAAAATTGATCTGACTTCCCGGATAGTGCTTGTCTGATCCTATCTAAACACAGTATAGTTTAGGATTAGTTTATTCTATATTTTTATTTAAAAAAAATGATTATATACCTTTTTGTGCGCTGTTTATAGATCGTGCTACGTTGTATATCATCCTCAAGGGGGGGCTGGTCTGAAGCTAATGTAATTAGCCCTGTGAATTGCTATGGCGAGTCTTTGTCTTAAGAAAAAGCCTTCAAGATGTTCACCCGTAAGTTCCTTGAAAAAGGATAATGCACAATTCCAAAGGTTGTTAAGGTTGTGGAAATAATGGGAATATAGTATTCTTGTGATATTTCAGGATATTTTGCTATTTTAAGTAACTCCTTTTTCTCCAGAATGTTGTTTGATTGGATGGAGCCAAAGGATCAATATACGAGTAATCCCAGACCTGTAATTGACGCTTTTAAGGAATTTGAGAAATCCCATCAGGGCGTTTCCCATCGGATCTGAAAAGACCAGAGTGTTCAAAAATAGTGAGAATTTGAGTTGATCTCAAAGCTCTAAGGATATTCGAATTGTATAAATTATGTCTAACAATTCGACCTTTACAAGAACAACAATAGAGACTATGTCTTCCATTACCCAAAAAGAACTGCAACCTGAACAAGTATGGAGTTGGGTAATTAGGCAGTTAAAACGAATCTCAATGACGTGAGTGAGCTCATTTTGGTTAAGTTGTAGTTGTATAACAAAGCGAATGGCTTCAAGGAAAGGAGAATAAAGGACGGTCAGATAATTGCATTTTGGGAAGGAGTTATTCAACGCAGCTTGTAATAATAGGCCCATCCCAGTCCTGCTTATTCTTTTCTGGAAGTGAGTGATCAACCATAATTTGTGATTTCCACTCAATAATAGCACCATTATAGGAAGGGTCAGGTGTTATCCAATTAAAATTACAATATTTATTGTTAAGAGATAACTGTATATGAAGGCAGTTAGGGCAAGATCGGGGGAAATCTGATAGTCCACCCATCTTGGTGGGTAAAGAGGCTTGAGTCCACGCTATTTTATCGTTAAGGTTTAAAATATTTTTGATTAAGACTTTAATCCCATTTTCATATACACAGAGAGGTGTGGGATATTTGAAAATGGGAGCTGATTGAAGCGCATATAGGATAAGAGGAATATCGATAAACTTTCAAAAGGAAAGAGGCTTTATGAGAGGGGAGAAGGTAAAATAAATCAGCCAACTCAAAAAGTGTTCCAATTGTGGAATGTAGGAAGAAAGATATTGCTGTGTATCCACCAACAGAAGCGCCTAAATGATTTAGTTCCTCAAGGGTGGTAAGTTTGAAGTTGTGTGAATTCGGTTCAATTGATTTGACAGAAATGAATTCGGATTTTTTGGGGTTGATAGGAAGTCCAATAAGCAACCCAGCCTCCTTGATTAAATTCACTGCTTTATTGACTTCGTCAACCATCAAGGATATCATCCTCAATATACCAGGCATGCAAGGATAATGAACACGTCGAGTTGATGAATTTAACGATGCTGTTGACAGCGTTTACATGACAGGATTTTCATTGGATGCAAACCCCCTTCAAAAATATTTGCCTAACCCCCTAAAAATTAGCGCCACCTGACGGCGGTGTCTTTTTATTATTATTTTTACCTATTTAATTTATTGATACTCTTTTCAAAGAATTTATAAAGGATAACTCAAATTAATCTATCTCTACTACCAACTATCGATATTTTGTGAATATAAAGAATTTATTTTTTAGATAATAAATTCAATTAAAACCCCCATTATTTACAATGAATTAATTATTATGGCATTATGAGCTTGCTGAAATATCTAAACCTTAAATTACATTTAAAAGGATAGTTTATTTGGAAAACAATGTGTATAATTGTTTGCAATATATAGATTTGGTCGATGAATTGTATTATAATAATTCCATAATAAAAGTATTAATTTTTACAGCAATAAATTTTGTCTTATTTCATCTCAAGATTAGATAACCCCCAAAATAATTTATCCTACCCCCATTAAAGAAGCCTACCCCCCTACCCCCTCAAAAAATAGGATGCAAACTGTTCCTACCCCTCCCGCTCATGTAGACGCTGGTTGTTGATACCTAAACAGAAAATAAAAAACCTAGAGGATCTCCCTGTTGTATGGTCTCAATGGAACGAATTTTATAAATATCAAATTGATGAAAGGCAGATGATAACAGAATAGAAAAAATTTGCATAACCGGGGAAAAGAGTAAAGAGGAACACAAGAAGGAATTCCGAGAAAGTGTATTATAGGCATTAGAGAAGTCAATTTTGACTAAAGACTGATTGTTAGTCTGATTTTCTAAATGTATTCTAGCTAAATGTACAACGGCTTCACAGCCACCAGGGATCTCATCACCAAGTTGGAAAGGGCTTAGGAGACATGAAGCTTCATGCTTTATTATAGAAGATGTCATATTGGCAACTATGCTGCGTAAGGTAGAACCTATAGCAATTGGTTTAATATCATCATTGGGTTTTTGAACCTTGCATTGAAGACGATTGTAGAAACAAAGTTAGGTACTTCATCTTTTAAAATTTTATTGCAAAGGTTATTTTAGTAAGAATGGGAGTTTGTGATCATATTGAGGGGGAAGTGAAGCCGTTGAGAAATATAGGGCGGATGTCATCAAGACCATGGGTAGAATCTCAATGAAAGGGAAGGATAGCTTTCCTATTTCTTCAGAAGTAAATAGAGAAGCACATGTTGAGAGGGGTTGTGGGGATATTGGGATAATAGTTGCTGTAGGGAAGACAGTCATGTGTGGAGCCAATCTGAGTGCACCTGAGATTGTCAATTTATTGTAGATCAAATTGGCCTTCATCTCAATCAGTAAGGGTTTTATTTTATTTTTGACAAGCAATGGCATCCTGTATTCATGGAAATGAGGGGCAACAATAGATATGGCCTCCTTGATTTGCTGGGTAAGGGATTTATGTGAAGTTTGGTCGGGCACCCTGAAGATATTATAACCATAGAAAAGAAATTTTAGCCATTTATTCTCATTGCTAAAGTTTAGCAATAGGGAGGACAGACAATCAGCGAAAGATTTAACAACTAGAAAATTTTGCTCCTTTGGGGATCCTTGAAATGATATTTGGTTTGGAATGGTCAAGAAAAAAAAATCTATATACAGGAATTTAAATTGTGAAGAGGTGGAACAAAATTTTATGGATGAATAATCGATTGGTGGAGCAAAGCCAGAATGCGGACATCTGACTGAAGGTGGCCCATGAACTTGTAAGCATCCATTTTTTCTAATATGAACTAGTTTCAGACATGAAGGACGATTTGCGAAGTAGACATAAAGAGAAAAAAAAGGGTTTAATTTTTTTTGAACAATGAAGCAGAATGGTAGAGGGATATAACTTCAAGTTATGGAGCAGCGCATGTAATGACCTGAACGGTGGTGACTAACACAATAAAGGGTACAAGTCAGTAAAAAAAAACTGTATATAAATGAATAACTACAAATTTAACCATAAAGATATCATTGGTATGTTTTACTGTATACAAAAGTCGCGCATATTATGAATAATATTGAAACGCGATAAATAAAATTGAATAACGAATGCAAAATAAAAATAAGCATATATAAATTACTCACTTGAAACAATTTATTTATTCATCACTATGTCATTATCATGCATCATATTATATATTCTCAATATAATTTATATTTTAAAATTTTGATATGATATTAGACTCTATTATTATGATGGTAATTAATATTTTAATATTTATTTATCTCAATTTAGTATTCTAAATGTTCATTACCTTTTTTCCTGTATATAATTTTATTTTCTAAAATCATTTTAGCTAAAAAAATAAAAAAGTAATTATTAAAATATGCTGTCTCAAAATTATGAATAGGAGGACCGGGGTTATATTGTCCATTAAAAATTGATGTGGTATTAAAAAAATAGATAAAGCAAATTTTCCAAAATATTTAAACATAATTTTATTCTTTACATATATCTATCACTATACTAGAAAAATATTTATAAAAAAAATCTTTTAGTATTTTATTAATATATTTAAAAATATGAAAATGTTAAAAAAATTAAAAACACCGGGGTACCTATGAGCTTTTGAGGAGCTTGTTATAGCGCCTCTTTATTTTTAGATTTAAAAAAATATATATATAAAAATATGTTAATCCTAACTAAGTAAATTAAAATATAATATCAAATATATTTAATATACCAGGTTCATCCATAGTACATATATCACCCGAAAGAACTTGTTGCCACTAAAAACTATCATATAATTTACAAAGAATAAGTCAACCATGTTAAGCTTAATTAAATACAAATTTTCTTATTAAATGATA